CTGGCAGAGCGGGGGGGGTGCGGCGGGTGGGACCCCAGGGGGAGCGGGGTCCAAACGGGAGACACGGGAGAGGGGCGGGAACCTCCGAGAGGGAGGGCGGACGGCTGGGGGCCGGGGAGCGGGGTCCTACAGGGGATGCGGTGCCACCCGGGACTGGGCCGGGCCCTGGAGAGGGGTCTGCAGGGAAGGGGCTGAGCTCCCTATGGCGGCGGCTGGATCCCATGGATCCAGTGGATCCCGTGGAGTGGAGCTGTACCTGCAGCTGTTCTGAGATTGGGGAATGTGGGCAGGAAGGGGAATTGGGTCTACAGTCTTCAGATGGGGCTCAGGTCGGGGTTGTGGCCCTGGGGACACTCCTGGTTTCTGGGTTTGAGGATTTCACCAAGCTTTCTCACTCTCCTCCTTCAGAGTATGGCGCAAGGCCGAGGCCAGGTGAAGGCTAACCAGAGCTGAATCTCCCAGCTACCAGAAAGGTGGTGAGCCCACGCCCTTGCCCAGACTGGGCAGCCATCCCCCCCTGGGCAGGCGGGTCCTGTGCTGGAGAGAGCACAGATGGGAAACAGGTCTCTCCCCTGAGGGCTTGGGGCAGTTATTTAATTCTCTGAGACTGATGTCCTCCTTTCTTAAATACAAATACTGTGGCTCCCTCAGAAGCTGGGGGTGGGGTGGGGTTGACAACAGGTGAAAGCGCTGTGGGCAGTGGTGTTAAGATCCAGCAGGCGGTACTTCTGCCCCAGTGCTAGTGGGCCTTTCCGTTCCCAGCCACGGAGGCCTTGCGGGCTCTTTCGTGGGCGGTGTTAGTATCCTTGCTGCACAGGTGAAGAAATCATGGCTCTGAGAGAGCAGCCTTTTTCTTGAGCTCGAGCCCTTGCACGTTGCGTGGTGGGATAACTGGTGAGGGAGGGAGGAGCCACTTGGGGGGGTGCTCCCGAGAGCGTGGCTTAGTGCTCTGTGTCTTTCTTCCATGGACAGTTTGCAAACATTTTTATCTCGAGGAGGTGGACAGAACTTTCCCCACAAGAGGAGGCAGCTGCCACGTCTTGCTCTGTGAAAAATCCAAGGCCCTTCTAGCTGGGAGGTGTGGCTGAGGCAGTTCTGTGACTTCAGGTGAGCGCTGCAGCCCCCTGCAGACGTCAGGGGCCCAATGTTCTCCACCAAGCCTAGGCTAGATCTCTCCCGCAGCCCAACCGGAGTGACGATGTGGGAGAACACCAAACCGGAAATCCTTCCTTTGCTCCTCATGCTGTGACTTTTCGAAGTATAAAGGCTGATTTCTTTTGCGTGCACCCCTTCTCCCTCCACAGGAAAGCATTTTCAAGAGACTTTCTGGAAGGTGCAGTTTGTGAGGTGGTGTAGCCCAGCCTGACTTCTGACCTTCTGTGGTGATGTGACAGCACTTCTGGTGGAGCCTCAGAGAGCAGAGCCCAGAAAGAAGGAGCCCACTGAGCTTTTTCTGTATGCCTCTAATGGGAACGGAATTTCCTGTGACTGCAGGGCAGCTGTGCAGTGACGTTAACAACCGGGAAGATGTTTTGGGAATGACACTGTAGCAGTAGTCCAGATCTGCCCAGCAGGCAGCTGTACTATGAACTGCCTGTCCCTCCACATCGCCACTAGCTGCATGGTAGATTGGATAAGTGTTCTCCTATTGCTTCAAGTTTCTTTCCCTCTTTAAGTGAGGGAAGGCGGCTTCCTCACTTCCTCCTTTATTTTCATGCATCAATAAGGATACATTGGCCAAAGCAAAATAGGAATCTGGATCCCCAGGTGCAACTGAAGTCACGTCCTCCCTGTACCCCGAAATATTCTGACCTACCAGCCGCCCAAAACAATTTCCCTTTCACTGTCTAGTGGAGCTGCAATTTAGCACTTGTGACCCCAGCAGCCGACAAGCTGTCCTGAGGGAAACATGACAAAAGCAGGCTCCCCTTTGAAACCCAAGGTCTCCAGTGAGAGAAGGTTCAGGCCCCTCCTTGGGCCCCTCTCCGGAGACTGACATCCTCTTGTCCCGCAGTCCACAGACCTTCCTGTTCTTCCCAGTCTTCATTTCTGGGGTTCTAAGATGACGAAAATGGTGGCGCGTGGTTGTCTCAGTGCGGGGACCCAGGGCCCTGCCACTGTATAGGCTTTTGGAAAATAGCTTTACTGAGGTATAATTGGCGTTCAATAAACTGCCTGTCTAACTGCACAGCCTCACGTGTTGAGTGTACGTGTATCCTGTGGCCATCACCACAGATCGGGAGTCTGCCCGGCCTCATGAAATGTCCCCATGGACTTTGGGTCTCTTCCCTCCCACCCTTCACTCACCTGACATGCTGGTTCCAAAAGAGATGGGAAGCCCTGTACCATGGCTGCTGTGGCCTTGACCCTCATACAACTAGCGACTTCCCTTTTGGACCTACATGTGAAAATCCTCCGTAAAATCCTGGCTAGTTCAGCAATTATGCAAAAGACAAATGAAAAAGTATACTGACCCTATCGACTTTGTTCTCCTCCAGTTTTTCTTCCACTTTCCCTGCAGCCTTGATGTTCCATCGATTTTCTCCTGGAATTGCAGGCAGGCTGTTTGCTCCAGAGTTCCTGAGGGAAGACGTGTCCCAGAAAAAGAAAGGGTGGCAGGTTCCACATTGCAAGATGAAAGCGGCATTCACCTGCCATCTTCCTAGCCCTTAGGCTGGGCTGAGAGCAGTAGCCCCAGAAGGCCAGGTGTAACTCACCTGCATCAAAGCTCCTGATCAGGGAGAGACAGCTGGGCCTGGAGGCCGGAGCGTAGGCAGGTACTCTGCAGCAGCCTCGGGCACTCTGCGATGGCCACCTGTCCCACACATGCTCGTGAGATTCCAGAGTGCTTCCTGACTACACGTGGGGCATCGTTTGTCAAAGGCCTATTGCTTAGGTACCAATTTAGCACCTGAATCGGACATTGTAAAGTGCTGAATTAAAGGAACGGGTGGAGAAGATCCAGGGTTAAACTGCAGCACGGAAGAGAGGCCCAGTCACTGACCTGATGGGCTCCGTCCAGCCCCTCTCTGACCCTGTTTTCCTCTTCTCCTTTTTCCTCCCTGAGCCCCTCTGTTTCTGTGGTCACCTTGGACTCCAGGAACAGCAGTTCTGATATGTGACTATGAGGGACCAAAACTGCCTGGTCCCCAAGTGAAAGCAGTTGCCCCAGGGTGGGAACCCAGATGCCATGCTAATCAGGAGCCACTGAACCGCCCTCTCTAAAGGACGGCTTCCCAGGAGACTTAGGAAGAGAAGAGGCACCTTCCGCTCCAGGTGCAGGAGTTCCAGGCACAGGGCCTGCGGCTCAGCTCCACCTAGGGCCCTCAGCTGTGCTACATACCCAGGGCGCATGGAAGGGGAGGGACACATGATACAGGAGCAAGCGCCTCTCCAAACAGGAAGCCAGAGAGCTGCACTTCCGGCACAGGCTTTGTCGCACAACTCTGCCAAGGGCTTGCTCCAGAAGTGCTTATTCCCTTCAGAGAGTATGGCGAGCCATTATGGTGAGCCTTGACACAGGCCTAGCCATGATTGAACTTTAAGTCACCTCGCTGGCACGGACGTGCTCTCCCCCATAGCCACGGGTGAGTTCAGCTAGTAGCAGATGTAACCCATAATGGTTGTTATTGATTCCCTCTGGAATGTGTGGGCGGTACTCTCGCTCCCGTGTAGCCCTCGCTCCCATGCAGCTGGAGAGTATAAAAGGAAGAGGTTCTGTAATAAAGCAAGCAAGCAACATGAGAAGAAAGGTGCCTCCCGTCTCTCTGTCCTCATCCTTTCAGCTTTAGGACCTGCTGGCCGGATCCTGACGTCGCGGCTCGCGACAAGAGAGTACTGTCCCCAGTGGCCTACCTCAAAGAAGGTCTCCCAACTCCAGACCACTACAAGAGGTGATCAAAACATACAATGAATTTAAGTTAAAGAAAAATGTCTTACAGTGAAAGACACATTGCTGTTAATCCCTCTCAAAATATTCTCTTGCTTTCGGTACACTTGTCCTGTTTCTATCTCCACTTTCTGCAGCAGTTCTGAAAGTTCCCCTTTACAAGTGTCATGTGGGTGCCACTCTGAGACCATCTGGTGGGAAGGCAGGCTCACAAAAATATGACACGGGCCTCGTCCCCCTTATTCACCTGACCTGGCACTGTGTGACTTGTGGCTCTTCCCAAACTCATGAAAAGGAAATTCTCTGAACTGACTCAGGACACGGAGGCCTCCGTAGCCCTTACAATAGAGGCCCTTCAGGACTGCTTCAGAGAGTAGCACCTCATGGGTGTCTCTCTCCATAGTCCTTTTCCCTGCGTGGCCCTTCATGTAAGTGGAATCAGGAGTTGTTGAACAAAAAGGACTCATCCAGCTTCTTGGAGAAGGCAGGGCAGGCGTTATTCGTGGGGGTTACTACCACAGGGATTCACAGTGGCCAGCAGAGATGGAGCTCAACTCAGCACCAGGACAAGGGAGGACTGATTGGCAGCAGAGGGCAGTCCCTGACAGGGAAGCACTAGGTGGAAACTCAGGCTGTTGGGTGTGTTTTAGTCCTATCCCTTTTCATCGCGGAGTGGTACTCTTCTATACGAATTAGCCATGTGTGTCTAACCCTCCTCCCTAGTTTTGTGTATTACAAACGAAACAGTGAACAAGTACTGCTGTGATATGAGAGCTTTAGTTTCTCTAGGGCAAATACCTAGGAGTTCAATTTCCGGATCATAGCACAGATGTTATTACTCCTCTTACTGTTTTCCCAGTTTCCCAAGGTGGTGCTACCATTTCACAGACCCCTCAGCTCTGGGTTTCTCCTGTCCCTGCTCTTACTTGATACTGTGTCTCTTTTTAATTTTGAGGATTCTTCTGGTTTAGTTAGCATTTCTCAGGTGACTGATGATGTTGAGGAAACACTGACTCACTTTTAGGAAGTATTTAAGTCTCTTCTGCCCACTTGAAAATTGGGTTGCTTAGAGTTCTTTACAGATTCCAGTAGCACACATGTTCCACAGATTTTTTTCGGCCAAACCGCAGTGCTTCTTTTCAAGCCTAGGGCGCAGGTGTTGAGCAGACATCATAAATGGACCCAGTTTCTCAATGGCTCCCTTCTGAAGTGAAGGTGCAGCTGTCCTGCTGCAGTGTGACATGCAGATGGCTGTGTGATTCCCTTCCTCCATCCAGGTCCTGGAGCTAAGGAATAAAAGCCAACCCTACCTCTGCAGTGAGGAAAATGTCAGACAAATGCACACCACTCCTGAGCATGTGCTGGTGGATAATATTCCTCCTCTTCTTCTTCCTCTTCTTCTTCCTCTTCTTCCTCCTCTTCTTCCTCTTCCTCTCCCTCCTCTCCCTCTCCTTCTTCTCCTTCCTGTCCTTCTCCTTCTCCTTTTCTAACAGAGAAGTTTGTAAATAAGATGCGATTATCTGCAGGAAATGTGATTGTTAGTTTCCAGGGTCCCCTGGTGCCAGACCTTTCCAGCTTCTGTCTGAAAGGTCAGGGTGGTTGGGCAGGGCATCCCCCAGATCTCCTTCTCCTGGCTGGTCTGCCTCTTTGTTTGCTGCCAAGCCACCTTTTGCAGCGGTCTTTGGAATGGAGATAGGCCCCGGTCCACTGAGACAGCCCACCGGTTCCCAAGCGGACTGCCCGGCTGAGACCATCACCCTGTTCAAGGTCAGGACCTCTGGGCGGGGTGGGCAGTTCTTAGCCAAGAGCACCAGAACAGATACCCTTAAAATGCCCTGAAGTCATCAGATAACTGGTCCCTGAGGGAGACAACCTCAGGAGCAGGAAAAGTATGGTAGGAATGGGCAGGAACTGTTTCCTGGAATGAATTCCATTACCCTGCCAGTGGGTGCCCAGAAAGACTGAGGATGGGAAGGCCAGGTTAGGGCTCCACGTCCCTTCTCCGAGCATATCCAGGGGCATACGCTGTGATGAGACTCGTAGGGCTGACCCCAAGTAAGGACTGATGAGGACCAGAGGGACCTTGGGGCTATGGGGGACAGAGGTGCCCTGAGACTGCAGAGCCCATGATCAGGGCAGGCTAGGGGTGAGGAGGGACAGCACACAGCTACACTGCAGGCCTAGAGCCCTGGGACCAGGCCCAAGCAGCTGTCCTGAGGCAAGTCCGGGACGCAGCAAGGCCACCCCGTGCGTCTGATGGCCTTTACAAGGGCCTGGCGTCACACCAAGAGTCTTCCCTGCAGGCCACTGGCACATACCAGGAAAGCAGGACAATCGCACATGGACTGGAAAGACGGAGCTGTTAAAGATCAGGCGGAAAGTGGTGGGGCCCACATGCTCACGGTGTCTGTCTCACTCAGTGAGATCTACACAGATAAGAGGCAGGCAAGCTGGTGCTGTTTACTACTAGGCAAAGACTGATTGCAGTGAATAGTTATGTACTGTATTTCAAAACAGCTGGAAGAGAAGATCCAGAATACCGAGGGGAAATGATAAATACTTAATGCAACAGATGCACTGGTGGCCCTGTGAGATCTTATGCATTGGATGTATGTACTGAAACACCATGCTACACCCTATAGATAAGTACCCTTATTATGTGTCAGGACTAAAATGAAGCCCTAAAAGGTGGGAGCCAGGGAATGTGGACCCAGCAGTGTCCTTCAGCAGGCTGCTGAGCCTGAGCTTTCAATCTTGATTATTCTGACACTTAGCAATGGGCTGATGTGAACAAGAGAAGTGATCGAGGATTCCAGGATTTTTGGCTTGAGATTTGGGTACAGTGGCTGTGTTAGTTACTCTTCTCTCATCGCTGAGCCCAAATACCCGGCCCAGAAGTTTAAGGGGGAAAGGGTTTATTTGGCATACAGTTCATAGAGTTTCCAGTCCATAATCAGCTGGCTCTGAGGCTGTGATGGCAAACAAGCATCACAGAGGAGAAACAACAGGGCATGCACACCAGGCAGCAGAGGTGACAAGAGAAGTACCCTGTGTCTCCCTGCCCCTTTTGTCTTATCCAGACTAGTTAGGCTGGGTAGCCCTTGAGCCTAGCATTGCACCAGGAATAAATTCTACATCCACACACTCTAGATCCAGCCTATGACCATGTTGAGGCTTTGGGGGGCCACCCAGGCCCAAACTATGACAGTGGCACACACCTGTAATCCCAAGCACTCTAGGAGACTGAGATGGGAGGACTGTGAGTTCGAGCCCAGCCTGAAGAACTTAGCAACTTAGTGAGACACTATCTTGAAATAAACAATAAAAAGGGCTGGGAATGTAGCTCAGTGTGAAGGCCCTGGATTCAATCCCCAGTACCGAGGGGAAAAATTTTTTGGCTCGAGTAAACTCGAAGTCAAGGTTACTAGTGATAACTGAGTTTCTTTTTTCTGATGTGCAAAGTTAATAATGTTGATAATGGGATGCTTTTGCCAAACTGGATAAAAATGCTGCACTACGGTGTGATGTTAAACACTGTCACATGCTGTTATTTAATGTAAATATGCCCATAATTCCTTGGGACGAAATGGACACATACAACTGGGTGGGTCCAGAGTTGAAAGGGAAACCATCATTCCACTGAAAAAGTCCAGCCTTTGTGCTCATGTGTGCATTACTTTGCCTATACATTTAGCAATGGAAGGACAGAAACAAAGGATTCACGGAGACTTTCTCTGTCTGTGTGGGGTCTGACTTGGGGAGAATGTCTTAGCTCTTCTCCTGGGACCTGGTTGGCTGGACGCCCTCTGGCGGATCTCATGCTACATGTGTGCTTTCTAAACTATGAGTTTTGCAGCCTTGAAAGAGTGACTCTTTCCCTCACCGTGGGCAGTATAACACATTGACTCGAGGCTCCGGCTCTAGCAGGTACCGGAGGAGAAACGGGGATAATTCTCGGGTGCATCCTTCTGTGCGACTTGCTGAGGTCATCCACTTGTGACTATCACCCAGCCTTGCCTCTGCCCTCAGTGAGCATTTTGGCGTCAGGGTGGTGACTTCACACGCTGTGCAGAGATGAGCACATCACTGCCCTGTAGTGTTTCGAGTGAGGGAAGCCTTGAGACTTGTAAGTTCCTGCACTCCATCAAAGGGAGGTGGCTGAGAAGTCTGGGAATCACTTTGTGATGATTTCTAAGCTCTGTTTTGTAACTGATAATGTTACTCCTCTAAAACAAGCCTCAAAAGATTCATGAAACCAGAAAACAGCATCCACAGCAGTTGGCAGTAGACCTTTAGGTTGCTGGTGACAATGGGCACAGTCTTACTGGTTTTGGACTTGCACGTGCAAAAGCTGCTATGCGACCAGCTGCAGGCCCTGGGTGGTGCAGAGTGACACAGTGACAAAGGCTCATGGATGGCTTCAAAGGCTCTGTTATCGGAGGACAGGGCTTTAGCTCCAGGATGCTAGAATGTGTTACCACACAACGGGGAGAGCACTCAGTGAATTATTGCCTGGTACAGGTTCGCAAACAAACTGTAAGAGCATGCATGTGCCTGCTAATTAATAATGCAGAATTCTACTATGGAAAATTTAAGCATAGGGGATCATACTCTGGCATATGCACCAGCACAAACCATAAATGTTTGACTACATTCAGCCTGGTATCTGTCTGTCTGTCTATCTATCTATCTATCTATCTATCTATCTATCTATCTATCTATGTATTTATAATCTATTTACCTATACCTATCATCAATCTATCATTTATCTATATTACTCATCATTATACGCAGTTATCCAGGTATCTTGCTTTTAAACAAATTGCAAAATAAGTTGCAGCCACCAGTACCCCACTCCCTAAGTATTTTACAACGTATATCATTACCATAATTGCAAATGTTTTTCTTCTTAGGAAACATTTAATCTGAAAGAAATGCATAAACCTTAAGTGACTACTTACTGAGTTTTAAAAATGGATAATCTGTGAAGCCCCCAAGTCCCTATCAAAATGTATAGCACTATTATCCCAAAGGGCTATTGTGTTAGTCACTTTGTCACAGACACACAATACCCAGCACCCACAAATTAAAGGAGAGGCTTATTTTGGCTCATGGTTAAAGGCCATGGTGGAAGGGCCTGGCGGAGGAAAAGCTGCTCACATCACGGTGGACAGGAAGCAGAGAGAGAAAGAAGGAGCCAGGGAGGGAGATGCACTCCTTCAGGTCATGCCCTCAGTGACCCGCCTATTCCAAACAGGCCTCACCTTCAGCACCACACTCAGCCTGAGCTCACCAACTGCCAGTGAGTACAGTGCCCCATGGTCCAGTTACCTGCCACACGCATCCGAGACATGGCAGATCCGAACTGTATGCCATGACGTTATTAAATTATCTTAATTAAACACTTCAGGGGCCAGGAATTTGGCTCAGTGGCAGCCATGGCTGCCTTGCAAATGCAAGGTCCTGAGTTTGAGTCCCAGTCCTTTCCCCGCAAAACAAACAGAAAACACTTCAGGATTTTCTACATAAATAATCAAATCATTTGCAAATGGAGACTTATTTTACTGGGTTCTGGAGCTCAAACCCATGGCTTCAACCCATACTAGCACACATTCTACCACTGAGTTACAGTCCCAGCTAATATTTTTTATCTTGAGACAACGTCTCATTATATCGCCCAGGTTGGACTCGAATTTGCAATCCTCCTGTCTCAGCCTTCTGAGTAGCTGGAATTAAAGCTATGCACTATCATAACCAGCTGAGATTATTTAATTTTTATATGTTTTATTTTTTCACCTTTTGTACAGAACACACAGTAAAATGCTAAATCTTTTAAAAAGTGAATATTGCATTTTGTCAAATGTCTTTTCTCTATTTAATGAAAAGATCATGTATATATCTTTGCATATCTAGATATAATTTAAATCACATACTAAGAACCCACCTAGACAAAGCCGTAAGTCAAACTAGTTTAGGAAATAGTTGTTGCTTATACAGTTCAAATCCTCTACCCAATCCATCGCCATTACCAGAGCATCAAGTGGCTTTGCCCAGCCACCACAGGGCTCATAAATGGCAGAGATGGGCCTAGACACAAACCTAAGGATGTCACAGCTCCAGCTCTTTCTCTAGCACCACTGCCCCTCAGACCCGTCCGATACAACAATTCTTGCAACAATATTTTTAGCTTTTCTCTTTATTCTTATGGATAAAATGCAACACACACGTTCTACTTAACAACAGCTGAGAAGACAAGAGTCAACACTAACTCTTGAGAAAGGAGAAAATGTACAGCATTGGCATTTTCCAGTGACATATGATTTTTCAAATTAAGAGTTTTAAGAAATAGTTGAAAATGACTGAAAGGTTATTTTTAAATTGGGTGTGTATGTAAAATCTGTTGAAATGTTTGAAGGAAATGTTTTCATTCCATGTCGTATTATTTTCTGCTTAATGATATTTATGGAAAACAGCTGATAAATGTGAGTCGGGTATGATTCGATCCCACCGTACATAATCTTTTCTGGCAAGAAACGCACATATGAAAAGCAGGTGGAATGTGCTTGCTGGAAAGATGGGGCATTTCCCTCTCACATCGTTCTCCAGTCCAGAAGTGCATGGACAGCCGCTGAAAATGCCAGAGAGGAAAGATGAACATCGATTCTCACCTTTGGAAACCCGGACCACACAGCTGGACAGACACAGTCACCACAGGCTCTGAGTCGACCCTGTCACGCAGCACAGCACTTTGTGGTTTAAAGCGTAGGCTAAAAAATATTTTACATCATTAAATATACACGGAGAGCAACGAGGCGACTTAAATAAGACTTGGGGTAGCCTGCAATGGACATGTTGAAGTCCTTTAGTTTTCTTCCCAGAAAGGCACACGAGGTAGTTGATGCTGCTGGCGCACAGTAAGGAACTGGCGTTAACAACAGCTGATAGGACAAGAGTCAGCATTAACTCTTGAGAAAGGAGACAATGTTTGTTCAAACGTCATTGACTCCAAGAAGCATGCAGTGTTCCCAGGCGAGCTGTTTCACCAAGGGGTCCTCTTTTGAAGAACAGAGGAAAAAAATGAGCCAGTTCTAGGAATTTTCCTGAATGATATTCCTAAGATGTTAATTTCCTCTGATTCTTTCCCAGAGGATACCATGTTCCTAAATATGTACCAAGAGCACTTGGGATGAGGTGAGAGTGAGAAGCCATTCAGAATATTTATAGCCAGGTGTGGCACACACCTGTAATTCCAGCACTTGGGAGGCTGAGACAAGAGGTTCACTGCAAGTTTGAAGTCAGCTCGGGCTACACAGCGAGTTCAAGGCCAGCCTGAACTACGTAGGGAGACCCTGTCTCAACAACAACAACAAAAAAAAGATAATATTCATGAGCTGGGTATCCGACCTTCCTCTTGTTTGCAAATATACCATTCGCTTTTATAGACTGCTTACAGAAGTTAAAAAAAACAACAACAACTCTTTGCTGTTTTTCAATCCTTTAAATCTTTAGGTGGCAGGCAATTTAGGGTTCGTTGTAGTGGTTTGTTTATTCTGCAAGAATAAAACCAGGCAAAAGAACTTTAACCACATAAGTGTTAGTTTTGGTGTGTCTGCAAATGTTTTTCTTTAATCGGTTAACCTTATGATCAGGAATAAACGTTCCATCTGGTGGCTTTGATGTGGACACGGCTCTCCGTGTGGTACTCTCTGTGTGGTACAGCTGTCTGAGAGCTGTGTTGTGGCCAGGACTGAATGGAAATGATTAATACAGAAAAATGGTTCAAGTCAGTCTTGTCTACCCAAAACCACACAAAAGGGGTAAGGACTTGAGACCTCCTGCATTGTACCTGCCACCGCTGGGGTCCCTATTTAAATAAGACTGGGGACCAGGAGAAAACCTGGAGCTTTTTATGTATAGGTTCTAGTGTGTTGTCAGTCAGAAGAAAGGAAAACTATGAAATAAAAAGTAATGAGTGAATCTATCTGTGAATTTCATATAAAATCACAACAGAATTTCAACCCTTCTAATGAGGTACAGTGAGAAATACCAGATTCAGTTGTAGGCTGAAGGGCAACACAGCTATTTGAAAACTGTGTTCCACACACGGGTGTAGACTTCTGCCATGTAATTCTTGGGACTTGGCAACCCCATGAAGGAAAATGTTTATTCTGTTGCAAAAGCAGTACTTTTTTTGTTCATACTCTAGAAGTCCATTATGTAAACTCACATGACATCAAATTAGCATATACTGAAAGCAGATGAAATCCAGGCGGAAATATAGACCTATAGAATGCATGTTTCTTTTCTAACTGGTTATCTGACAAAGGAAATAGATTCTCAAATACACAAGTTAAATGAATGCATCTTTGTGTTTCTTCTAAAAGTGAAACAAAATCCCAAAGGCTAGAAGCACAATTACCTGCATGGGGAACATACATAATGCTGCGTGTAGACATCAAGGCATAAGGTAGCACATATGGGATTTCTTCTATAAAAGCGCTTAAAGGTATCATCGTATGATATCGACACTTCGTGAAATAAAATGTTCTCTGTGTTTGTGTGTTGAACTGCAAATGAGAGTCACGTGGGCTGTACCTCTTATTACCGCTGATCTAAACCCATCAAAATCTCAGTCTGGATTCCACCCTGACGGGTACACTTTGGGGAATGAAAACTCTGTCCCCAGTCGGGCTGGTCCTAGACGGACAGTATCTGTGAGCCCAAGAGGGAAGCAGAGCGGACCACCCTCAGCGTGTCCTGGATTTGCCAAGCCAGAGGCCTGAGGCCTGTGTTGTGGCCAATTGCAGAAACCCGATGGAGAGGCCGCTTCAGCTCCACCTCCACGGCCATGTCTACAGTGACCGAACAAAGGCCAAATCTGTGTGTGCGGCCTGCAAAAGCTGGAGCGAAGGGCACTTTTCAGCACACTTGGATCGAAGCTGTTTTGAAGTTTGCAGTTGGGGTGGCAGAAAGAAATCACTGCCTACACTCGTGAAATGTAAAGGAGAAACAAAAACTGTGTGTAATCAGAGAGGGAAATCTGGGTGCGTCACGGGAAGGACATTCGCTGAGCATCACATCACGACCTTGAAGGGAAAACAGACTCTGACTGCCAACCCTGGGGAAGGGTCCGGAAGGGTTGGATGGCTGAGGGGCACCGTGCTCAGATGACAGTAAGCGACAAAATACCGTCTCGACACTCAGTGACCGAGCGCTCACTGCACAACCATGGCAGTCACCACGCAGCACAGCATTTATAACAACAGTTTTCTTCAGACAGAGTCCCTTCCAACCCAGGAGCCAGCCAGAGCATCAACAGTGCCTGTTTCACTTTAGAAACTCATTTTCTTTGGATGTGGAGTGTTTTGTAGGGCAGAAATTAAGGCTGTTTCTGGCATTCTTGCTTAAAAAAAAAAGGCCAATAAATGTATATAACATAAGTATAAAAAAAGATTCTCTTCCACTTGTTGGTGGCACTGGCTACAAAACGAAGAGCTGCTTGTCCCCAGGTCCAAGGTCATGTTCACATGGCAGCAGGATCAGAACTGGAGCAGGGACGGAGCCTCACTTCCAGGAGGATCCGCCTCCTTCCCTTTGTCAAGGAGGTGTGAGGAGCATTCAACGGCAGTGGAGACCCTCTCCTTTCCATAGTTCACACGGCCAAGGCTGGAGATGCCGCCCCTTGGGACAAGTGGTCTCCCAAGGGCCATGGGACAGGCACGTCCAGGCAGTCCCACTTGCCCCTCCTCCAGTAGCGTCTTCTTGGAGTCCAATGTGTGGTAAAGGCCACCTGGGGACGTTTCAAGGACTTGGTTGTGGCTTAATCACCCATTCTGCATGCGGATTTACGCGATATACATCCAGCACATAAGCATCTGGATCCAAGCAATGCTGTCCTGAAGGAGAGAGAAGTCACAGAATGAAGACCACACACCTCTCTGGCACACACCACCCATGCATGGCTTGTGTGTGAGGTTCCACGCAGGTCAGAGGGAAATGTGCGTACATTTTAGAGTTTCTTAACAACGCGCCCCCTCCCCCCAACTGTGATGTAATTCACATAAATCTCATATGAAATTGTGGAAGAAAACAGACACACCAACGCCAGGAAAACTGCTCCCTAGCTTTGCCACATCAAATGGAGAAATAGGACACGAGTTTGTTTGTGGTATAAAAGGATTGTTTACATGCTGACACATGTCTGGATGGCTTTCCAGATAGTGACTTGAGCAGGCCTGGGACAGGTGCAGTGTGATTTAGGAACGATCATGTTGTTGCTTTACTGCAGGTGATACCCACTGGCAGGACGGTTTGAGGGCCAGGGCCTTGCACCTGCTGGGCACAAATACGCCCTCAAGTGCCTGTACAGCAAACAGAAATACAAAGTGAGACTGGCGGTGAGAAGAACATGAGAGAAAAGCAACAAAGGAGGCTTGTAGAGAGCGTGCGTGGGCCCAGGAGCCCTCGCTGGAAGGCGATGGAACGTCAAAGACGTGGCAGAGGTGAGGGGATAGGATGTGGATGGGCAGGGCATCCTCAGGAAGGTCAGCATGCATGCAAGGCCCAGACAGGCGCGGCTATGGACCAATGCAAGCTGGGGTCCAAGAAGAGGCCTGGACACCAGTGTGAGGCGCGCTACTATTCAGGTGTCCTGAAAGGAGGCCATGGATTGAGCCCTGCAGGAAGCTCAAACACCCCAAGTTCCCAGGACAGTGCCCTCCAGCTCTCCAATGGGAGAGTCCAAGAGGAGACTCAGATAAGTGGAAGGAAGGCAGCAGCAGAGGTCAGCCTCAAGGGCAGGAAAAGAAAGCATTTTTCAATGAAGAGAAAGATGGGGCCAAGGATTTAGCTCCACGGTCCTGCTGCCTGCCTCTCAAGCGCAAGGTCCCAAGTTCGATCCCCAGTAGAAAAAAAAGAAAACAAGTGAAAGATTGGTAGAGCAGCTGAGAAGGCTGGGAAGATTGGGGGGCCCAGCCTGTGGCCTGAGTAAGAGGGGGACTGTGCTGAGGTGCAGGAGGGACGGAGGGAAAAGCTGGAGCGTGGTAGCTATAGGGAGGCATTGGCAGGGTTTGTGAGGACGGGATGAGGGGGACACAGGGCAGAGGCGCGGGCAGAACCCATTTTTCCCATGGTCCTGCCTCCCCGCAGGGCAATAGGAAGAAGGATCTCGGGCTGAGCTAAAGCAATGAGAAGGACAGGACGTTAAGGTTTGGAGCATCCTGTCCTCTCCCTTTTATGTTTTCCCCTCCATGAGTCTTCAGAAAGAGACTTTCCAGTCTCACTGGAAAGATCCAAGTCTACTCCATCACCACAACTAAGAAATCCTGCCTTAGATCTGGAGAACATGGTAGACAACTCATGAAACTTCCTCCACAAGGTCGGAAAAAAACCCAGAAATGTACTTCTGGCTTTTAATCTAAGAAAGTGTAAAATATACCTTTATATTAATAGCAGCATAGTGTTAGAATAATTTTCTCAGAAAATTTAGAAGTAGAAATGATTAATAAATGCTTACCTATATTTCCTCCAATTTCATATAACCTTTGGTTCTGAATCTGAATACATTCTGATGAGCCACGACTAAAAAGACAGGAAGGCAGCATAATTTTAATCCCATTTCATGCTCTAAAGGGAGATTTTGTATTAGACAACCCAGCAACAAATAATTCACTCTGCCTTGATGAAATATATGTCACAAAACCCTGCTATGACTGAGGTTAACAACTTTTTTTTTTCCTGTTTGACTTGGACAGGAAGCAGAAAGCCGGGGAGGCTGGGAAAGCTCCGGGCAGGAATGAGGCCTGTAGCAGGCAGTCCGTTCCCGCCATGCCCACCGGGCTCCTCACTAGGCCCCATCAGGCCTGGCTGGCGAGCAGCTGCTGTGTCCTGGCTACAGCTCTTGGCACACAAGAGAAGTAAAGTTCACTGGGGCACTTGCTGAACACTGCTGAAAGGCAAACTGTCCTCAGCCTGCAGGTTTCTTAGGCTGCCGAAGGCTCTGCAAGCTGTCTAAGGCTGACTTTTCACAAAACTGCCTTATGAAGAAAAGCAAGTCAGAGAAAGTAACTGCTCTGTTAATTTTGTGCACCCCAAACTAGAATGTTAGGGTAGAAGGATCTCAAAAACCAGCACTGATCTCCACCTGAATTTGGGTAAGACTTTGAGCTTGGTTTTTTGATCAGACTGTCCTGGCCTTTTGGTCGTGTGGAAGCAGGATAAATAGATACACGATGTGCCCCCTTTACCCAGCTTCTCCCAGTAGGAAAAGCAGTGAAACTCCCCTTCAATTTTAAGACCAAAACATCTGAGTTATTCTGTAAAGACGCCGGAGGTTCCCATCATAAGGACCCCCACTGCCCTTTTCTGCCTCTCCCCCAGCTAACACAGCCTGACCTATGGCAGCCCTGCCCTGGTCCGCGTTTCTGTAAATGCGTTGTCTCACAGATGTTGTGCGAATGCAAACGGCGGGTGGGGACCTTCTACGCTGCTCACACCCACCCACTCGGC